CTTTCCATGAGTGGATTATCTTTAAAATATCAAAATCAGCCTGGCCGGCTTGACTCAGTGGTTGATTGTTGACCTATGAACCAAGAGGTAACAGTTTGTTTCCTAGTCAGGGCACGTGCCTGGGTTGCAGGCTCGATCCCCAGTGTGAAGCCTGCAGGAGGCAGCCCATCAATAATTCTCCCTTATCACTGATGTTTCTATCACTCTCCCCCTCTCTTTTCCTCTCTGAAATCAATAAAAATATATATTTAAATATATAAAAATCAATAACATAGAAAAATATTCCAAAACCCTGCATTAGATGCACTTGAGCAATATTCAAGACGCCTCCCTTTCCTTCGGCTTTAAACTTATTTATCAGCAACTTAGTTCAACTCTCCACCCAACTAGACAAATTTCTTGAAGGGCTTTTTAAAAAATATGACTTTCATTTAAAAACTCATCGTTCTACATTTCTTCCTCTGTTCCTCAGAAAATTCTCTGCATTACTAATGGCACCTTCCCAGTGATATCCAACTGTAGCACAGCAATCCCATGCACAGGCTTATGAGACAAACTGGCTTTGTTCAGCTTTTGATTGCACCACTTACAAGCTGTCTGACCTTGGGCAAGCTATTTGACCTCTGTCTGACTCTGTTTACGCCTCTATAAAATGGGACTCATTATAGGACTTTTCTCATAAAGTTGCTGCAAATCCCCAAAGTCCAGCATTCAGCACACTCCCTGGCACACTCTAAGTACCCAGGACACATCACCTGCTATATCAAGGGCATCTTTACGATTTTCATTCTTTCTTGACCCTTTGACGAGTGAAACAATTGCCAAGCGATTTCTTGAACTCCTTCTTGCCTTGAGTTTCTTTAACTTAGTGCCCTCCTGGGTCTCTTGCTTCTCTTTGTGTTTTCTCAGTGTCTTTCTTTTATTGTCTTCTTCCTCAAGCTTATTCATCATTATCCCTCCCGACTTCCAAGTTCAGGTCTATCACCATCATTCTCCCTTTATTCATTACCTTGAGAAGTTTCATTCACTACATGATTCACTGTGTTTAATATAAGAGAATTTAACAAGATTTTAAATGGCTTGCATTCTGAGGCAAGATGGCAAGAGAAAGTGTGATTCCACACACTCTGTTGACAGTAGCTATGGCAATAAACAACGAGCTCGTGTTATCATTGCCAAAACAGACACTGACTTCATTTCAATACTAATAACAACCACTAACATACTGTACCACAGAGCTTAGGAAATGATCAGTTTTACTGGTTACTCAAGACCCAAGCAGAAAGAAGGTAAAAATGGTGAGGGAGGGAGGAAAGAGCAATCAGGAAAACCATACATTTACAGAAAATGTAAATTTACAGAACATAATTATAAGATGAAGAACAATGAAAGAAATAGGATATAAAAGAAGATACAAGAGATTCTATCTTTGATAGAGAATATAGCAGGGAGTGGGAAACGCAAGTGCTCACAAGGGCTAAGAAGCAAGCTAAATAAATGAAGTGGGCAGGATGGTAATAGGGAGTGGTGGAGGTTGCGGTAAACCGAAGAATGTAACTAAAGGCATTCGCATTCAGAAAAGTAAACATTGCAAGCCAAACAAGTCACAGGCCTTTACTTTTCTTCCTCTAGTGCAGTGATAGGAGTTAGTGTCATTGTTACCAGCCCAATGAGGCTGACTAGTCCAGAAATGTTTTAAAAAACATATTTATTTTACTGGCTAAAAGCTGCAAGTAAGACAAATTTACTTTATAATCTGATTGCATTTGCTGAGTGAGTTGTTATGAATCATAATTCAAGCGTGCATCCACTGCTCCTCTCCATCACAGACCAAACCACTATGTCCGTGAATTAAGATTCACTTATTGGCTTAAAGTGAGCCAAACCCTTCCCAAGTCATCCCCAAAGGGTACGCCACACTTGTATCGGCTCCCTAAGGCACTTAGAGGTACATAAAAGTTCCAAGATTTCCCAGGGACAAAGCTGCTTATTCTAAGAAGAACTTGTAACTGACATTTTAAGTGTTCCTTTCATGTGCATTACATCAGGACAGGAAGTTGTTTGTTTGTTTGTGTATTGCCACTTGCTTTGGACCAAAACACACCTTTTTCTGCATCCTTGTCAATTGAAAAATAACAGTCTCGTGACCCTAAAAATATCACACTTGTGAAAGATGGGGCTGAATTCAATTAGGCATCAACAGTGTAAACTGTGCTTACAACAAACCCAATGAAAAATACCCAGAATTGTCCCAGTGAGCAAACAGCAATTACTTCCAGGAGATACTTATTCGGGTCTGATCATCATATCTCCAGGTTTCCTGGTGCTTTAAAATAAGTCCCGTTCAACATGTATTGGCCGTGTGCCATGCATCAGTAGGAATTAAAAAGATGAAACCATAGTTGCTGCTGAAGAGCTTACTCTCTAGTGGGGGAGGAGGACAAGGAAACCCACTTGGGTACCATGGTGATGTCCCTACGAGAGGCATGGAGAGTGAGCTAAGGAAGAGAGAAGATTAGTAACGCCTTCCTGAAAGTTCATTTTTAAAAATAAAAAGTCACATCCCAATTAAAACATAATACAACTAGCCTAGGCAGTTTAAACTAGCCTAGGTAATAAATGAGGTAATCAGGACACTACCCAACACAGAAGTCCCTACACTTCCAGATGTATTTGTCCTGACTCTGTCCTACATATGCAGTAATGATTCCTGAAATCACAAACGTACATTTGAGTAAAAGGATATATTGCCTCTAATTTTTGTAAAGAGGTAAGCAGATGAGTTTCCCATGAGCAGAAAACAGTGAAAATTCTATTAAGGGAAATACAATTCTAGAATCCAAAAGACTCCCCTCTCCTGTGCACTGAAGGAAATTATAGCCATGTATCGCCTCTCCCGTTGAAGGTCTGGGCCTGCGCATTCAGGGGTGGAACAGGCAAAAGTAATGATTAAAGAGAGCCTACCTTCTATCCCCCCCATCTCAACTACTGCAAATGCCTGAAAATCTGCCATTTAGGGACTAATTTTATTTCGATACTGCAAAGACCCCACACCTCAGTGCAAATTTCAGGGGAGGTGACCGAAATGCTCTCCAAAAGTTGGAGAAACCCCTGAGTAATATGCCAGTTTTAATTAGTAGTTTAGTAACGTAGCCCATTCATTGCATTTCCTAATCTTGGTAGAAAATCAAGACTTTAAAGACATAACTGTGGGATGGTTAAACACCACATCCTCTTTATTTTAGATTGGGTTATTATCAATACCAGAACCATGGGCATCGATATCCTTTGCTGCAAATTATTAATCACTTTCTTAGATGTAAAATAGCCTAAAATTCCATTATATTAGTGATTTTTTTCTAAAACAAATTGAACCTAGTATTACCATTGCAGAATTATTTTCACATACCTCTTTCTCAATTTACACATTAACAATTTTAATCTCAACAATTTAAATCCTACAACATCTTCATTGAGTAAATAAGGAGGCCATAGTGATACTACCTAATCAATATATTTATCTTCATTACTCTGGATACCATTAGACAAATATTAGCTCCAAATCAATAAAAATACATCTGTGCAAGTTGTAAAAAGAAACGGTTTTAAGAAGGGCTTCCAATACGGTACCAAAGGCAACATAAAGGCCAAGAGGCCATGATGCATCCATCACACATCAATACCACACAATGGTTTATAAATAGAGATACAATGTTATTTATCAGTAATCATAGTAATTGACCTAGAGTTACTTGCTAAAGTATGTATTGTTGCTTTATCAACAAATAACTCAATTTAAATAAACTTGTAAAAATAGAAACAGAGAACAATTTCTCACATACCACTCTCTGCTCTTTGTTTTAAAATAACATATATTCAATATCTACTACTGAATCTTTACTTTCCATCTTCGAATAAAAAGATCTTTCACAACATTGGATACAAGTGATGATGCAGTTTAAAAAGTTTATGAGTATTTTTCAATGAATACTTTTCATGAGTACAGTATTTTTGTAGTTTTGTATGAAATAAACCCTCTAAACCAGAAATGGGGAACCTTTTTCTGCGAAGGGCCATTTGGATATTTATAACATCATTTGTGAACCATCCAGAATTATCAACTTAAAAATTAGCCTGCTGTATTTGGTCTAACATTTAATTAACTCAACCCCCTAATGCCTTCGCAGGGCCAGACCAAATGATTTCTCGGGCCTTATATGACCCACATGTTCCCCACCTCTTGTCTAAACCTTCACTATAAAACTGGGAACGATAAGAAAATGGCTATGACTGTGCAGACAAAATGATAAAAAATACCATAGTTCCGAGGATGGGAAGGAGACTCAAGCACATTACACATCTCCACACAGCTGCATTTATAGGTAAAACATTTGTTTTTATTAGGAGCAGGAGTAAGCATTAGGCTTGAACACAGAAAATTCACATTCAAATTAAAGCTTATTATTATGTATGCAACCTTCTCAGATGCAAAAGTGAGGATGGTGACACCCTTCAGCAGCTGCAGAGTGCTGGAAAGCCGCAGCTGCCGCAGCAGACGCAGGATATTTCTACAGTGGATTCTGAATGTTGAGCATCTGTGCCACCACAGCCTCCAACAGGTCCTAATAGATCTTAGGTGTGTTTTTCTTTGTCCTAAATTTTCCCCTTTCTATAGAGATGTTCTGTTTAGAACCATTTCTCTACTTTACTAGGATAATAATGAGCTCAATATGGGAAATTCTCCTTCTTCTACCTTGATGCCAACTGGAACTTATGCTCACTCTGGCGTCCTGAGTCCATTGGAAAGAATAACTGAATGACATAAACAGATTTAGGACCACTGTCTTATCATCCTAGGATCCTTCCCAGTGACAATTTGGAAAGCCCCTCAACATTCAGACAACGTCATGAAGCAGCAGCACAAATCCAATGTGTATTTAAATCAATAACAGCTGTAGCCACCAGAACATCTGTATACCAATTCATTTTTTACAAATTACCTCTTTCACACTGGGGTCCAGTAAAGCCGTAAGTGCACGCACATCGGTTTGGGGCCACACACCTGCCTCCGTTGAGACAGCCACTTTCACAGACAGCTGGAAAACAAGGAGAGAGGAGCTGAGAGGTCTTTTAATGCTAATGAAATAACAATTTCTGCCCCCTGAAAGGACAATTTAAAAAACCTAAATAATCACTGTGGTATGTGTTACTCTATAGTTCTAGCTCCACCATGTCCCTCTGTCAACTCTTAGATAAAACTGCCTGGGTAGGTGAATTTGTACCTGTGTTAACTCTGGCAGTTTCATTCCAGGAAGCATAGGAGCAATGCTTTCAGTTCTGCATCTAAAATGGTGCTTTATAAAAGGCATCACTGAACTCAAAGATACACAGAACATATTGAGGGTTGCCAGAAGGGAGGGGGATTTAGGGGAGTGGGTTAAGAAGGGGAAGGGATTAAGACATACAAATCGCCAATTATAAAAACAGCCATGGGGATGTAAAGTACAACAGAGGGAACACAACGAATAACCTCATAATAAGTAGGTATGGTGTCAGATGGGTACTAGACTTACCAGGGGAATCACGTCATAGGTTACATAAATGTCTAATCACTGCTGTACTTGAAACTCAAAGGAAGCCAGGGCTATTGTTATAGTAAATGAGTTAACACACGCAGAATCTGAAATGTGCCTAGCACAGAGTAAGTCACTCAACAGATGAATGATGTTGTTCTGGTTGTTCGTTGTTATCTCACTCCCCGTCCTGGCTCGACTTCGGGCAAAAACATGGTATGCAGAAAGATCCTCAAAACCTGGCCCATGACTTCCAGTCCATGCAATATCTCCATTCCCATAACTCCCCTTAGCACAGAAGTTCTAGCAACACCAAAGCACCCCCCATGTTCAACAGCCCATGCTCTGTCATGCTCCAGTACTGTGGCCCATGCTGGCATCTGCCTAGAAGGCCCATCTCCCATCATCTGACAACTGAACTCCTAGCTGACCCTCAAGACTCAGCTGAAGGGTGTACCACACTGGGGAGGCTGTCCCCCTTTTCTCTCGCCAATTGGAAACAACATGAATAAAAGCTCATCCTTAAGAATTCATCCATGTAATTCATCTAAGTAATGAAATTCAGCCATTAAATGTATTTTTAAATGTTTAACAACATGGAATATACTTCTAATAAAATATTTAGGGAAAAAGTAGTATGAAAAAATATGCATAGGATAAGATCTCATGTACCAAATATGCATTAAAAGACTAAGGGGATATCTGAAATGATGGGTTATGGGTAATTTTATTTTTTACATTTTTGAACTGTTCCAAATTTTTGCAGGATATATATCTTTATCTCGGTGTAATAAAAAAACACAAGTTTTTGAAAAGGAATTTTTTTCTTCTGAAAAGCACAAGGACTAATAAAGGAGCAAACACACAACGAACTGTTCGTGAATGAACCAACAGACTGAACACCATGTGATACCTATTAGAGTAGCAGAATCTAGACTAGGAAATTAGAGAGATGCAAATACCATTGATCAAGATAAAGGACATATCTGAGGAGAAATATGAGATTGATTTCTTTGTTTGAAATGCTTCTTGAAAATTCAGGTGGACAGGGCCAGTGACCAAATGGAAGGTATACAGCTGGAGTGAATAACAATTCTGCACCTGTGGTGGTGACTGTAAACCAAAGGGATAAGGAAGAGTGGGCTGGTGAAGACAAATGAGAGGAAAATGAATCAAACTACCTATTCCCAAGGTTTCTATCAGAAATTTGGTGCTTAGTGTGCTGGGTAAATGACCTGTTCACCAATAAGCCACTGGACGTCTATGAAAATGTCATGTCCCAGGTAATCAAAGAAAATCCATCGGTGCTTATCTCTGTATTCTTTTGGCCTATATATCTGCCTACATGTCTATCTACATGGATTAACATCTAGAATACTTACAGCTATGGTTTACTTACGTTGTCCACAGTGAGTCCCTATGTATCCTTTCTGGCATATACAGTGATCATCGCTGCAGCTACCTCCATTCATACAGCGAATATTACAGTGTTGGACTTGAAAAGGAAAAAGAAAAGAAGAATGCTTTAGTTTAACAATCTAAGTACATAGATTGCAACAGTTCACAGAAGTTCATTTGCAGTGATTTAAAGAGAAAATAAAATTATTTATTAAGATTCATGTATTTATTCAGAAGTAACCTAATTGGCAATGATAACCATGTTATCGTTTGTATGTATGAAATAATTTACAATGCAATCTAATTGTTTCTTGATATTTAATCATGCTAAACAACTTCCCTAATTTAGCAGAACTTACTGCTCAATATCACTTCTGTAATTTGTACCAAGAAAGTAGTGTTTTGAGTAACCATATGAGGCAAGATTACCATGGCAATAATTTTTATTTTAAAAGAGTTAGAATTCCAGCTAGGTGCCCAGGAAAACAGTCAGAGTGAGAAAGTCTAAGGAACTTTGTTAAAAGAAGTTTTGGCAACAACAAGAAAGAAGGGGAAAACCCTACAACAGCATTGAGTCAAAAGACTCCTGATAACGGAGACCTGCTGGACGCGGCTCAGAAAGAGCTGCTTGCTTCAACTGTAACCTTAAACCAAATAAGACCTGTAGTGTTTGAAATTCATTCTTCATCACATTGTCACCTACAGGAGTGGGGGCTTCGGGCCCAGGGCAGAAAGACCGCAGGCAGGCAAGCAGACCTGAGAGAAAGCTGGAGTAAAAGACGCCTATGAGCGTGATGGCAAGTCGTGGGCTCTCGTTTCTCTAGAGTTTAGGCTGTCTCTATTGCAATCATGCGGGCATGCTAAGAACTCTTTCAAAATCCAAGGCTGTTCCTTAGGCCTCCAGAAACAGTAACTACTCTACTTGGAAAAGACTGAGGCTTGCTTGAATCCATCATCAATCCTCGGTGACACATCCCTATACAAGGAGGCCAGGCCAGGCATGGGAAATCTGCCTTACTCTGCCCTATCCTCAAAGTGGTGGGAGTAAATTTCTAGAGAAAAAGGTTCAACAGTTTTACATCGATAAACCTCAGAGGGAAGGTAGGGGAGGGTGGGGGTAAGGGGGAGAGATCAACCAAAGGACTTATATGCATGCATATAAGCATAACCAATGGATACAGACACCAGGGGGTGAAGGCATGAGTGGGGGTTGGGGGAGCAAGGGGAGATAAGGACACATATGTAATAGCTTAATCAATAAAGAAAAAATTAAAAAATCATTACATTAAAGAATTTTAACAAGGGGGGCGGGGAAGAAGAGAATCCTTCTTCTGTGCAAGAGCAGACATCAGGGGCTATGCTCCTTCCGCTCAGTCTTCCTGGAGCATGGAAGCCAAATCTTCTCCCAGGAGCAGAAAGAAGACTCCGGCAGCCTTGTGAGGATCAAAACGCAGCTGCTGACTCCAGGAGAAAGGACCGTTTCATCAGGAGCTACGCAAATCTCAGCATGACAACAGGGAAAGGAAGGGGCCAGAACTCAACACTTGCTATGCCCTCACAGAGCACCAAAGAGTGAAGTCACATTGAAAGTGACGCACCTTTGCAAGAACATGTCACACCCTGACCGAAACACCATCAAAGGCTCACTCTCTCTACTGTATGAAGAACAACCTTCATCTCTCAGCATCAAAGCCCTCCTCAGGAAGGCCCCATGCGCCTTTCAGGCTCCTTTGCAAACTCCTAATATGTCCTATGACTCAGTCCCCAATCTCCGTATCAGTCATTCATTCACTCAACAAATATTTCCGAGTGCCTACTATATACCGGACAAAATGCCAGGCACTTTGTTTGCACTGGTCTCTTCGTGGACTCTCCTCTTTAACCTGTCTCTTCGTCTCTTGAGCCTAACTTTCCACCCCCAAACAGAAAGCATACACAGTTCTCACAAAATCTGAAATCCCACCTATCTCCAATACCGACTGCAAACATCTCTTTTCTCCTATGACATTTCCTTATTTCTATTCTCTCCTCCCTCCCCTTCTTTCCCTCTAACTCCAGAGTACCTTATTCTTGTCTTTTGAAATGTATATTATGTCACCAAACCTATTTTTTAATTATTTCTCCCATCCTCAGCCCATTTGTCTGAGAGCTTCTTGAAAGTGGGAAGCATCATGATCATTAATTATACCCCCGTAAGTGCTCAGAGTAGCCCTAGCCTATTTGTAGATGCTGTAAAAACTTTATTAAAACTGCCCAGCCAGTGTGGTTCAGTGGTTGAACATTAACCTATGAAATAGGAGGTCACAGTTTGATTCCCAGGCAGGGCACATGCCTGGGTTGCGGGCTCAATCCCCAGTAGGGGACATGTACAGGCAGCCAATCAATGATTCTCTCTCACTGATGTTTCTCTCTCCCTCTCCCTGTCCCTTCTTCTCTGAAATCAATAAAAACATATATTTTTTAAAAAAAACTTTACTAAATTAACACCTATTTACGTAAATCGTGCTACCTGATAATGATATCAAGAGCTATGCTAAAAAGCTGAGACTGGGAATTTGCCCATTGTGTCCTAAGCACTTATACAGCCCCGAGTACTTTGCTGTTAAAAATATTTTTATCTTCATTTCCCCGTGTGTAAAAGCAGAAATAACTCCTTTGTTGAAGAATCATTATAGAAGTCAAGCAACCCAGGACACTGATTAAAACAAACTGTTATTTTAGGCTCCTATATTTCCATTAAAACGTCTCAGCCAAAATGCTTTTAACTAAAAAAACTATCTGCAAGTACACAAAGGAAATGATTCGGTGAAAAATTTGGATAGTATTCTAAGTAGGTCAGGAAAAGGTGTATAGTTGCTTTAAAATTTGAAGTTAAACTTAGCTCCATCCTATCTTAGCAAAACAGCGAGGACTGGGAAAGGCACAGGAAATGATGTCATCTGTCAAGCAGCAGAGGAGCTCAACCCACAAACTGATTTCAATTAAAGTGGCTCATGCCAAAAGCTAATTTCCATTCCCACATGAGCAGCAAAGCCATTTAGCTACTTTGAGATAAAAAGGCTAACAGCAGATTAAATAGTGACTTTACATTATTTGTTCAAATTAGAAATTAGAATTAATTCTTCTTTTGAGGAAGAATGAGAAGTTTATATTTAAATATAACAAATATAATAAAAAACCTCTCTCATATGCTTTTATATATTTTCTGCCCTGTCTTTCAAGTGAACTTTTTCCAGCATGAAATATTCTTTCCCCTTTAAATTATAAAAGAACTTGGTCAGACTTGTGAAACACTAAAGTATGGTGAGTCCAGTGGTCCAAATAAACCAATGAGCCATGAGTCCTTGGCCCAGGGGAGCAAGCTCATCAACACAGAGTAGATTTTAATCACACCTGTTTTGCCACAAATATGTTTACCAAAGAAACTGCATTC